AGCGTCGAATAGCTTAAACGTGTGTCTCATATGGATCTTCCACGTCTGTTCTTCCATCTTTGTCAGAAGAAAAGGTCAAACGATCCAAGATCATGATCGTTGAGATATAGAACGAATTATTTTTTTGGAGTGCTACGACACGCCTGTCCAAGCCTGTAGGTGATCCACAGAGCATAGAAATAAACTCACTGAGCAGTAAAGACGTAGCTATTGTGAACCTTTAACTGTCACTCGAGCAAGGCAACTAACTCTCCCTCATCCTCCGTGCCCTGAAGGTGACTGGATTCGCTGCCCATCTCTGCGGGTTAATGTATCTCAGCCTCTGTCTGAGATGTGCAAAGGACAGCATCTCTTTATATTCGTTTTGGCTGCCACCCTTGCAGCTGTTCTCTGGTCTGCAGGGGTCGTTTGGGTCCGAAGCGCGCTGCTCCCGCAGCCCAGGAGTGGGCACAAATGGCGGTGGTGGCAAGCCCCGCCCACAGCTCCCTGCCCCCCTTCTTTCTAGAGTCGCGCCGCAGTAGCGGTATAATCTTTCCATTGTGTTCTATGGCCCTTTATTTATTTATTTATCAAACTTATACCCCGCCCTCCCCGCAAGCGGGCTCAGGGCGGCTTCCATAAAAGCATAACTACATTAAAATACACAGTATTTGACCATACAATAAAACATTATAAATACAAAGTGCTGGCGGCTGATTGAATTAATCTAGATGGTATATTACAGGAATGAATTTCCACTGCCCAGATGTTCCGCGATGTTTCTGCTCATAGTCAATTAGATGTTAATTAGATGTTAAGACCACGGGCCAGGCTCGGTCCTTGACCTTTAAACCCCTTCCCTATGGAGTCGTGCTGCAGCGGTGGCACGTTCTTTCCATTATATTCTATGGCAACTAGAATATAATGGAAAGATCGCGCCGCCACTGCAGCACGACTCTAGAGAGAAGCGGTTTAAACTTTAAACCCCTTCTCTCTTCACTTCCTCACCCCAGCCCGCCTTGGCAGGCCGGCTGGGGAAGGGCAGGGGGAGGCTTTTGAAGATGCCTCCCCCCCTTTTGCTTCCCCTCTGACATCACTTCCGGTGACATCAGGGGGCGTGGCATATGCTAATAAGCGATTATGTTAATAGCCTATTAGATAGGCTGATGAGCTCCTGCAGCTCTTGTTCTACACAATGACCCCTGCTGGTCTGGAAAAATGAGCCATGTTTTAGTAAAGCATTTTCTTTTATTAAAGACTTTTTTTGTAAAAGTCTAGTCCACACGTCAGAAAAAGTGAGCCCAAGAGTGAGGTCCTTAGAATAAAATGTTACAAGAATTGGATAATGAAACTTGGAGATTGCCAGATATTTCCACAGCAACAGTACCCATGGAAGATTTCCGTATGTAAAATGGAATGACGTTTGGGTCCAGTGGCACCTTTAAGACAGAAAAAGTTTTATTCTGGGGATAAGCTCTCGTGTGCATGCAAATTTCTTCAGACACAGTGAAACAGAAGTTAACCAACCATTGCATACAGATAGAGGGCATATAGGTAGAAGGTGGGGAGGGTATTGCCAGGAAGGACTAATCAGAGTCAAGATGCATAAGTAACTGAGCAGTAAATATAGCTAAGATTGGATGAAGGCCGTTGATGAGACCTGTGAATAGCAGCAAATCCTTTAGGAATTTCAGAAACAGACTAGAACGGGAGATTGCTGAGTTACAAGTTATTACAACACTCAGAGCAATGAAACCCCCAGGGCTTAACAGAGATATCAGTTTCTTATCTCACTACACATGCTAATGTCATTCAGTTCTCAGCATCTGTTTGTAAACTCTTTTATTATGCTGTATGCTAATTTGCTGCTATTCACAGGTCTTACCAATTGCCTGCATCCAGTCTTAGCTATATTTATTGCTCCATTACTTATGTATCTTGAATCTAATTAGCCCCTCCTAGCAACACCCTCCTCACCCTCAACCTATATATAATGGTTGGTGACTTCTGTTTCAATGTATCTGAAGAAGCGTGCATGCACACGGAAGCTTATATCCAGAATAAAGCTTCGTTGGCCTTAAAGGTGTCACTGGACCCAAACTCAGGCCAACATGGCTACCCACCTGAATCATATGTGAGACAGTCCTTCTTCAAGCAGAAGTGCTAAAATTACTCCACGTTGTATATTTGTGCTGTGAGTTATTATTGTACCTCTGCTATTTCTTCTGCAAGCACAAGACACAGTGCAAGACATTTCTTCTAGTGCAGTTTTAAAAACAAAACCATTCCACTCACTGGTTGGAAGATCAAAGCCATTAGGTTGGACACAGCCAGCTTTTCCAGTCATGAAAAACGGCCGAAGGGGTTCCCTCAGGTCATGAAAATGACCCATCCTGGGGATAATGGGACTTGCATGGAAAAAAGTCACTTAGGATGGGGGCTGTAATAAGGATGGGGATTGGGTGAGATTTAGCAAACCTGCTGGCTGGATCCAACCCACTGTCATCTTTACGTTATCGAAAGATAAACTCACCCCACACCGAATAGCAGTTCATAGTGTACAAGCAATCCTGCTAAACCTGGTGCCCGGTCACACGGGCCGGATATCGCCGGGGGAGGAGGCGTGGCTAATTGCCCCGGCGCAGTTTGATCCGCGATTACGCAATCAGACACGCCGGCGGCACACCACGGGTCCTTCCCTCGGTGCCGGCGGGTAAACGAGGGTGGCGATCACACGACGATCCTGCAGCGCGGCAAAGAAGCGGCACGGTGCGATCACACCAGCAATGGCTAGGCGCTGCTGCCGTGACAAACGGGGTCATTTATTATTTTTTTTAAGCCGAAGCAGCACTTTTGCTTTCTTCTTCGCTGTTGGGTGCTTTGCGCATCTTGTAGAGACTTGGGGGGTGGAAACCCTGTTTGCGACGGGACATGGGCGGGCGCCGGATGCCACCACCCGTAACGCGATCAGACGCCAGCCCTTGCCCCGCGGTTTCCGGAAACTAGTACCTTGGAGGTACTAGTTTTTAACTCCACATCTTCCGCGGGAAGCCTCGGGTTTGCGATGGGAGCTCTACACTTCCCAAATGTTGCGGTGTGATCGCGCCCGGAAAATCCGCCTATCTTCCGTCTCTGTAGCGTGGCTAATGCTCCGTGTGACCGCAGCCCTGAATCGGATTTTTCAGACCAAGTACAGTTTATTCCACTCCTCTGCTGGTTTAACCCTGGCTGCCCAAAAGACAGCCCTGACCATGAATAAGATCTTGCACTCCCAAAATGCATTGACCTGTGTGTGCATTTTGCTATAGAAGAGCAGTAAAGATGTCCCACTCTCTCTGTCCTTGTGATTTCAAGGGGATGCCATCATGGAACTTGTAATGTACTCCGCCATTACCACGTGCGCGACCGTTGGGCCATGCGGTCAAGCAAAGCCCTGAAGCTTCGCTCAGGGAGAACAATAGCCAAGCGGATCCTAGCCCGCACCTATCAGAGGGCCAGGTCCGCAGCCGAGAGCCTATGGGACTCTCGGCTACTGTAAATAGCCTATAGGAAGTAGAGGGTGTGTTTTGGTGGTGGGTTTTCTGGGCATATATACCGGCCTGCGAGCCGGCAGTTCTTTGTCTTGTTCTATCCGAATAAAAGTACTTTGCTGAAATGACTCAACGTTTCTCAGTACTTTTCAGGACTTGAGGGATTGCCATCAAATATGAGAGAGGGTGGCTTCTAAACTGTCAAGGGTCCATGTTGTTCTGGATGTTATACATCAAAGTTAGCACTGTGGGTCTTGCGTCTGAAGCAAGTGAACACTAGTACTGACCACTGCTGTAGATCCAACCTTCCTCTCAGGAGTCTTCTTGGTGTAGGAGCCAGTTTGGTGTAGTGGTTAAGTGCCCAAAAGACTCTAATCTGGGAGAACCGGGTTTGATTCCCCACTCCTCCAGCTGCTGGATGACCTTGGGCAAGCCATAGTTCTGACAAGAGCTGTCATTGAAAGGGCAGTTCTTGAAAGAACTCTCTCAGCCCCACCTACCTCACAGGGTGTTTGCTGTGGGGAGGGGAAGGGAAAGGAACTTGTAAGCCGCTCTGAGACTCCGAGTGAAGGGAGGGGTATAAATCCAGTCTCCTCCTCCTCTTCCTTCCAACTTAACTGGCTAGGCTGGAGAAAGGCTTGCAACTTTGCTCAGAGGAGTCATAGGAACGGGGTCGGATCCACTCCACCATATGCTGTTTTGGCCCCCTTCACATATATCTGATCAGGAGTTAGGCCATTTTGATTGCTATCACGTGCCATTTTCACAGCAGACTTCACGAGCAGGCAGTCGACATTCAGAAGACACAAAATAGAATTATATTCGGAATGTTAACTGCAGGATATAATTAAAACTGAAAATCCAAAACTATGTCTTTGTTTTCCAGGCAACGCATTTGCCAGAGTTAAAATGGGAGATTATCACTACTATGGTTTTGGAACAGAGAGGGATCACATCGCGGCCGTGGTTCATTACATCCTTGCTGCCGATCAGTACAGTGCTCAAGCCATGTTCAATCTGGGATATATGTGCGAGCACGGCTTGGGCGTTCATAAGGTAAGGTTGCCTGGCCCTGTCTCATCAACACAGCAGACTTTTAATTGCAAACATTCAGCGTAACCAAAAGCAGTGGTGGAGCAGAGTTTCCTTTGGGGTTACATATCTGACCTGCCAAAGGAAATGTGACCAACTGATTATTTATTTATTTATTGAATTTCTAAACTGTGCTCCCCCGAGGGGTTCAGGGTGATGGCCAACCAGTTCCCTGGAGGGCCAGCAACAGGGCAGAGAGGCCGAGGCCTTCCCCTGATAAGGACACCAGAAGAGCCCTGCTGGATCAGACCAGGGAGGGACCATCCACTCCAGCCTCCCGTCTCACACAGGGGCCAACTGATTCCTCTGGGGAGCCAACAACAGGGTAGAGAGGCTGAGGCCTCCCCCTGAGGAGAACACCAGAAGAGCCCTGCTGGATCAGACCAGGGAGGGACCATCCACTCCAGCCTCCCATCTCACACAGGGGCCAACTGATTCCTCTGGGGAGCCAACAACAGGGTAGAGAGGCTGAGGCCTCCCCCTGAGGAGAACACCAGAAGAGCCCTGCTGGATCAGACCAGGGAGGGACCATCCACTCCAGCCTCCCGTCTCACACAGGGGCCAACTGATTCCTCTGGGGAGCCAACAACAGGGTAGAGAGGGAGGGCCAGCAACAGGGCAGAGAGGCCGAGGCCTTCCCATTATAAGGACACCAGAAGAGCCCTGCTGGGTCAGACCAGGGAGGGTCCCTCTAGTCCAGCCTCCTGTCTCACACAGTGGCCAACCAGTTCCTCCGAAGGGCCAACAACAGGGCAGAGAGGCCAACGCCTTCAGAAGAACATCAGAAGAGCCCTGCTGGATCAGACCAAGTGGTCCATCCAGTACAGCATCCCGTCACACACAGTGGCCAGCCAGTTCCTCTGGAGGGCCAACTACAGGGCAGAGAGACCAAGGCCTTCCCCTGATGAGAACCTCAGAAGAGCCCTGCTGGGTCAGACCAGTGAGGGTCCCTCTAGTCCAGCCTCCTGTCCCACACAGGGGCCAGCCAGTTCCTCTGGAGGGCCAACAACAGGGCAGGGAGGCCAAGGCCTTCCCCTGATAAGGACACCAGAAGAGCCCTGCTGGGTCAGACCAGGGAGGGTCCCTCCAGTCCAGCCTCCCGTCTCACACAGGGGCCAGCCAGTTCCTCTGGAGGGCCAACAAACAGGGCAGGGAGGCCGAGGCCTTCCCCTGAGCTTTCCTCCTGGCTCTGGGATTCAGAGGCTTAGTGCTTCTGAATGTGGAGGCTTCCCCTCAGCCACCATGGCTTAGCAGGCATTGATAATTATCCTCCATGAATCGATCTAATCCTCTTTTCAGGCTCTTTATTTCTGTGGCCATCACTGCATCCTCTGGCAGCGAATTCCACATTTTAATCCCTCTCCGTGTAAAGTAGTGTTTCCTTTTATCCGTCCTGAACCTACTGCCCATCAGCTTCATTGGATGCCCTCGAGGTCTAGTCTAGTTGGGAGAGGGAGAGAAATTCCTCTCTGTCCACTCTCTCCACCCCATGAATCCTTTTTTAAAACCTTTCTCTTGTCCCCCTTTAATCGTCTCTTTTCTCAGCCGAGAAGTCCCAGAGTCTCTTCCGCCTTTCCACCTAGGGAAGGTGCTCCAACCCCCTCATCGACTTGGTTGCCCTCCCCTGTACTTTCCCCAGCTTCAGGTTGGATCCAGACCAGTGTTTCTGCCAACGCAGGAATTTCTGCCCACGGCGCACGGTCTTCCCATCTCTCCCCTTCCGTGTTCCACGGGTGGATCTCCTTGGACCCACAGAAACATTCGTTCAGGCCCAATCCCTGATGTGACACTTTTGGCTGCTGCAAATGCAGAGGCCTTTGCTGTGGCAATAAGGCCATTTCGTCCGTGCAACTGGAGAGCTTTGGGGAGGCTCTTTTAAACACGGGAAGTGGCTATCTATTGCTGTAGCACTACAATGTTACGACAGTTCGTTGGATCGAACCAGTTTTGGGAAGGGTCACAGGAAGGCAGGGAAAAGCCTAGAAAATGGATGGTGTTTGGATTCTTCATAAGAACCTAAGAGAAGCCAATGTTGGGTCAGGCCAATGGCCCATCCAGTCCAACACTCTGGGTCACACAGTGGCCAAAAATATACCAGGTGCCATCAGGAGGTCCAGCAGTGGGGCCAGGACCCTAGGAGCCCTCCCACTGTTGCCCCTCCAAGCACCAAGGATACAGAGCATCACTTGCCCCAGCCCGAGAGTTCCTATCTATACCTTGTGGCTAATAGCCACTGATGGACCTCTGCTCCATTTGCTTATCTAATTCTCTCTTGAAGTTGTCCATGCTCGTAGCTGCCACCACCTCCTGTGGCCGTGAATTCACAGTTTTTTAGCCTCCAGCTCACAGACTTTTGTCTTACCTCAGGAAGGATGTGGCTCCAGAGCAAACTAATTTATGCAGTAGCCAAACTGCTCGCTCACACCTTTCATGCCAGTAGCTCACAAAGTAGAATTTTTGCTCACAAGACTCCACAGCTTACAGGGAGCATTGTTGTGGACACCCTCGTGAACCTTCGTGTCAGGGCCAAAACGCACCCCCTGCCTGTGCACAAGGCCAGTATTTCTTTTCAGTGGCAGCCCTTGTCCCACGTGGGACAGTGTTCCGGGGGGCCTTGGAACTTTGAGGGGGACATTCCTTGGAAATGGAGACTGGGGCCGGAAAGGTGTGGGGGGCCCCCCCTGAAAAACCCCCATGCATGAGCAGGACATGACCCACAGCAGAATGCTGGATCCTAACCAGGGTTTCTAAGATACCTTTGAGAGAATACCTCATGCATTTATGCAACTTGAATCCTGTTCCGACTGATGGTAAAGATGTGTAACGGTCAGGGCTCTAGTCGGCGGGGAGCTCTCAGGTACGGAGCTCCGGAAGAGAACCTCTAGGGGGCGGGGC